TGAACCATCTGCAATGAAGGCAGATCCTTATTGTTTAGATTTCTTATTACTAAATGACTTGGGTTTGTGGACAGAGGTGTCATAAGTGCATAAAAACAATTCACAGACAACCCAGTAGTGTTTATGCTAATCAGAGTGAAAAGAAAGAAAAGAGCTTGTTTATGGACTGCTTTATTAAGCATTCATTAGACAGCTTTAAACAGATTAGCATAAGCTATCCTAAGCAGTTTTTAATCTTTTTTAATGAAACTGATACTTTAAGTATAAAAATATTGGAACTCGGACTTCCCTACAAATAATATACCAATAGGGAAGCATTCATAGAATGACTTACCAGCCCTAATGTACAGATATTTCTTTTTTTTTTAGTGGAAAAGAATTTCTGAATAAATGAGTTCAGCCTGCTTTCCTAGGGTACTGCAAACGGGAATGTGGAATAGAAAGACAAGAATATTCAACTGGAAGTGAGGGATGAATTCTCTGCTTCTTACCCAGCACCTTTCCATCTCTGGCCATTACTTTTGTGAAATAACTTGTGTCTTGCTGTATCAGCAATACTTAGAGCACAGGTCAGGAGGTCTAGGTTCTGCTTTCATTTGTGACTTGACCTGTGGTCTTGAGCCAAGTCATGTTATTTAATTCTCTGTTTCTTTTACCTTCTGTGTGGGGAGAAGAATGCTGAAAAGCCAGTAACACCTCTAATGTCTTTGGAGCAGGCTACAAAAAGAAGTAGTGACAGGTTCTACTGGTCTGATGTCAGTTATTTATAATTCTGATACAAATGCCTTCATGCTTCAAGGTTAGCTTAGTAAATGATATATGGCTACAGCACCTTATTTTCTTGAAGTTTGTAAGATTTATTGTTTCACTGTAGGGAAATCCTGTCTCAGCATATAGTAAAGATCTTATTAAAAGCTGCCATACAATAATGAACTTAACAGCGAGAGAAACAGGACTGGAGGGAGGGGGGAAAGGATTAATTTCCCCTACTGTACCACATTTATTAGCCTTCTAGTATCTTGGGAAGCTTTAGGACCTTCCCTAACTTGATGGTGAAATTTTAAGATCTGAGGATAGTTGAATCATTACAGTATTTACTGTAAGTTGGAGCAGCAATGCTGATACTCCTTGTATACTTGCTTTATGCTTACGTATTTGAGTTAACGACTGCTTTAATACATGAACAGGCCTTTGGAACAGTATGTTTTTCTTGAGGTCTCTTGTACTAAAGAAAAACTGAAGGCCACTAGGTAAAAATGACTAAGTGAAAGAGCAAGAAAGTGTTTTCACTAGGTCAGCTCTAATAATATTAAATAAATGTATCAATGTTTATTTTAATCATTGAAACACATATTTGGGTGCTCTTTCTATGCACTAGTGGATCACCTCCTTAACAGTTAAAATGCTTTAGAGTGAATAGTATTCACCAAATTACAATCGGCATATTCTTCTGTTGCACCTCACGGTATCATTTTAACGTATTAAACTAAAATGCTGCAGTAATTTATTGCATAAAATAGCTCATATTCCATGTAGTATACACCTGATGGGAAAGGGGACACTGTGCTACAAGAGTCTTCATTGTACCCAGGGGTTCAGAGCTGCTGGTTGGGTCAGTGCCAAGTGAACAGAGCTGTTTAACCTTTGAGAAAGGGGTAAATCCAGCTCTGTGCTCAGTTCTCAGTAAGGTCAGTGCTGGTCATAAGAAGGTCTTAAGTTTTGTTAGTAGAAATTGGTTTTATTTCATCATTTGTTCTGGTTTCACATATTAATACAGAAAGAGCACTGCCTTGGATGGACAGATATAGAAAACCCTGGCCTTGTGATTTCACATGATCACGTGTGTTAAACAATATCGTTTCTGGGGATACTTCAGTATGTTTTCCTTTATCCAGGTATTCAGAATGATTGATGCATTTGTTGAATAGCTGGGGGGGTGTTAATTATTGCAATAAAAGCTGTGAGAGCTCAGACTGATTTGGGGGTCTTTGAAACAACCTTGCCTATGATGACTTGGAGTAGAAACTGGGAATTTAGAACTTTTCTGCAAAGGATTAATTAAGCGTTTAAGCTCTTAATACAGTTTATCAGGAAAAAGCAAAAGCAATCCTACCGGTGTCCTACCTGCAGTCTGTGCTGTCAGTTCATGATTATCCAGAATTCAGCTATCTGTAGAAACACCGCTTGGCTTTACACAATGGCTCTTTACACTGCAAAGGCCAACAGCTCTGCTTTGCCAGTACAGCTCTGAGTTTCTCCTGATGGCAGGAAAATTTAGGGAGTGAGACACAGGAATATCTGTGTACTTACAATTTTTGTGTGATTTTTAACCAAATTGATTTAGCTTGTATAAAATTCAATAATAAGATCTGTCCTATAGAATTGGAGATTGTTTGTTTAAGGAAGAGCTTGAGTCTGGTGGAAAGCAAAGCTCGTTCTTATGTAATGCTTTTGGCTTTTCACTGTTCTATCATATATAATATAAGCTAAACATAAAAATAATACATAAACATCCTAAATGCTTTGTTTTGTTTTATTGTCATTTGATGAAAACAAACTCCTTGGGTTTTTAATAGAAACTGGTTATTTAACTTAAAGAAACTTTAATTACCAGTAAATGTTTTATTAAGTGGTGCCAAACTAGGATTTTCTAATAAATTTTTAACAATCTTATTTAGTAGTACTAGCTGAGACAGGACATTTTCATCATCCAGCTGTTAATCACACTGTGTTTAGGAAGGACAGCCCTTCATTATTATTTATTTAATCTGTTCTGGGTTCTCCGAGTTTGATGTAATAGCAGTAGGTTACTTTGCTTTCTTCATTACCACATGTGGGACTTTGCCTCGAATATTCAGCAGTGCTGCATAGAATGTACTTGCCAAATCCTCTTTAAACATTGCTTATCTACATGTATAACGCAGTTATTCTGCATTTTTGCAACCTTATCTTTACAGCTTTACAATCGTGTCTGGTGCTCAGTGCCATCGTGCTTATGCATACACAGTTTCTATTGACATCATTGGCATGTGTAACATTGGGAAAAATTTGAGCAATCTGAATGTCATTGGCGATTCTTCCTGGCAGATGATCTATGAGAAAATGAAATATTTCCCATAATGTTTGTATAGTACACCATAAAATAGTATGTAGCCACTAGGTTTTCATTGTCATTAAATCACAGTAATAATAACCACGGAAGTCCTACATAAGACTCATGCTTGTGCTATTAGGTAAGCAGAAAAATGCTAAATCTGGGTAAATGCAGGGAAGACAGTCTTTTACCTGAATAATTCCCACTCTAAGAGTAATTCTGACTGATTAGTGGTCCAAGGCAGAATAATTTTTACACAGTCGTCCTCCTGCTTAAAAAGTTGATTTCATGGTTCCTGTGAGAGATGTTACAAAGATGTATCTCCTTTTTGCACGACTGTCAGCTGATTTACCTCACTTTCAAGAGCAGATTTTTTGGGGAGTTGGTGGTTTTTTGGTTTTTGTTTTTCCTAGAAATGCTGTTCTATAGTGTCTTCTAAATATTTATTAGTTTTCTCCTCTTTTCTGTTGCTTAAAGCTGGTGATTTAGGGCTGGTTATGGTAGATGGGGAGACTTAAGCCTTTATTTCTGTAGAAGTTTACTTTCCCAAAGACTTCAAAGTTTTTCCACTTGAGGTAGAGGAGAAGGATCATAATTACATTTGAGAGATGGGCAATTGCTTCTTCAGATTTCGTGAATGATCTCTCCTTTTTTTTCCCACGAAGTTCACATTTTTTTATGATGGAGACACTTTACATGATTACTTTTCTTTTGTGACTTTTTTTTTCCTGTTCTACATTATATGTTTCATCAAATTAACCAAAATGTCTCAGACAACTTCATGGTGTTCTTGAGTTAAAATGAAAATACTCTTCAGTGGTGACTTACACCGTATCTATCAGTCGTCCGCACAGTGATGATGGTTTTCCTGTTAAAACAGCTAAAGTGCTATGTGATACCTATTTTTATAGATCAAATTTGCTTCAGCCATTTGAATTGCAAATGGAGGATGGCTTTTTTTTTTTTTTTTTGTTAACCTGGCTATTGAATATGTTGCAGAAATTTCTATTAAGTTAAAGTTCATATAGCTTGTGCTATGCAGGGACTGTCCTTCTTTCATAAGATGCTGAAGTAAACTTAGTCAACCTAAAGTAATTTTTAATTTTCTGGGCTTTAGGCCCCATAAATGCACAACTGGGTTAGTTTAGTGCCCTTCATTGTAGTTCTTTAACCATCTTTGAAGTATCATTAAGAGATCTGGTCATGTGTTCATAATGTGGCAAATTGTTGCATTATATAATCTTTGTTTTGTTAAAACATGGATTTAGAGAAACAACATTTATTAAAAGAAATTGTTGAGTTTGTGATTCTAATTTTTGTTTTGTTTTGCTATGCCAGAGAAGTTAAATGGATTTTATTAAATATTTCTTCTGTCACTGCACTTTATAGCAGCTCTTCAGGCATCTCTTGAAGTATTTAATCTCTTCTTCCCTTCAAGACAATATTTTCAGCAAACACTAATCATCACTGAAATAAAGCAGACTTCTGATTAGTACAGCTATTTAGTAATAAATTTCTGTACTTCCTTTGCATCTGCCTCATCTTCAGATATTTATACATGTATATTATGTACCTCTGCCTCGTAAACAAATACTCATACTGTGACAAAGATGTAATGTATAAATGTCTTGAGGAAACAGGCACAGAACCATTTCTGTAGACATTTAACTAAGTTCTTGCTTTTTTACTGCTATCAATACCAACCACATTAAAACCCATGATGATATCTGACATCATTTGCTTTCTGGATATACACTTGCCCCTTTTAACCTCAGTTCTGCAAGTTGTTTGGTGTTTGTTGTCTGGTTTTTCTACTCTAAGCATAAACCACTTTTCATCTTGCAGGTTAGATACATTATGAAATAAGTGGAATTCTGAAATGCAAATTTTCATGTTTTCTTCGCAGAGTTTTTGAAGATGTCAGCAGATATACCATTAAATATTAATATCAAGGAGCCCCGATGGAATCAAAGCACTTTTGTTGGACGAGCTAGTCATTTCTTTACTGTAACAGATCCCCGGAATATTTTGTTATCTGATGCCCAGCTGGAAAATGCAAGAAAAATTGTGCATGATTACAGGTATGGCATTGATCACTTTTACTGCTGGCCCAAAAAAGTCTATGTTAATGATAAGTACATGGTTATATATTTAAAAGAAAATATTTGAAACACTGTATTCATTGCACCACTCTTTCTTCTCATTTCAGAGCTTGAAAGATTTTTTGGTTTCTTTGGTTTTTTTAAAAAAAATTAATGGGGAAATTATGTCATCTGAGAACCCCCTATTGTTAAGCATTCTGAAATACAGAAGCATCTAATTCTGAAAATAGCTAATATGACAACAGAGTTTAAAACTTCCTTTTATGTGTTACGTTATTTGGGGCAAGTAGTTTCTTAAATATTGCAAATTAAACTTTCAAAGTTTCATGCTAATGACTCCAAAGATTTTAGCTCCATGTTTTATACTACTAAAATCTAGTATAGGATGGAGTAAATAGAAATTTGGTGCCGGATATATCAACTCAGCCAACATAACCACTGCTGGAAGTTTTGATTCTTTTTATTTCACCAGTCCATTTAAAAGCTGAAGATCTACAAGCTAACTATGAGACCAGATTAACTTAGTATGAACATCCCAAAATCCCCTGATACCATGTTTGTCACTGGAGGTTGCAGCATTTTATAACAGTTGTGCTTTTTGCTGTTGTCTTGTTTTGTTTTTTAACTTGTCCCTAGACAAGGTATTGTGGCACCTGGCTTGACAGAAGATGACTTGTGGAGAGCAAAATATATCTATGATTCAGCCTTTCACCCAGACACTGGTGAAAAGATGGTCTTGATTGGCCGAATGTCAGCTCAGGTACCCATGAACATGACTATCACAGGTTGTATGATGACCTTTTATAGGTAAGCAATGGCAATATAACACATAAAACATTTGCCTACAAATTAGATAAGTGAAAATCAATGTTACTCTCAAAAGAGCATTTTAGAAGATTTATAATAAATATTTTTAAATGTAAAATATTGCTTTCTTTTCTCTTCTCTCTGTGCATTTCCTCACACTGATTAATGGTTTGTTCTGGAAGTATTTGTGAGACAAGCCCTTAGCCCCTGTCCTTCACTATCTCACTTTTCCTCAAACTGGGAAAGTTGAATGTTCCAAAATCCCATCCTTGTAGGGGAGTTATGTGGAGGACAAAGAGGAGGAGATACCTGGAAATTTCTAACCTTAGAGATATGGCATGTAGGATGTTCTGTCTGCCAAGTGAGTACTCAGTGTGCTTCAGTCCATCAGTCATCGAGTTTCTCCAGCTCCTGTTTGATCCTTCCATTTCCTCAGTAGTTCTTGAATCACCAGTACAGTTAAGTCCACAGCAGAAGCCAGTATCGTGATATATGTTTGTGACACAATGCTTTGTTAGCAAGAACTGGTGGGAGGTTCAGAGGAAATAACAATAGCGGTTTTGCTGCTGAGATTTTACAAATTTTTGACTCACGCTCCAGAAAAGCACAGCCATTTTGAATGCTGCATATATACGTGTGTGTTTAAAAACAGTCAAGAATATAAATAAAACCATCAGTACAGCTGCCCATTCACAAGCACTGCTTCCTGCTTATCGCTTATGCTTTTATGCATGTCCTGTTACTATAATACTTACAGCAGTTATGCACCTTTTATTTGCGTTATCAGTAGTCACTCAGATTTAAAACTAGGCGATTTATTAGCCGAGAAGACATTGGTTTCTTTGGACCAAACCCTCAGCAGTGCAAACAGGATCATGTAGAAGTCCTTGGATGACACAGTGTAGCATCATCTTACTGCATATCACTGTGTTCTGGTTATTGCTGATCACCGAAAGAAACAAATACCTCGTTATATCTATTAGGGCTCTTGGGCATGCAGGAAGGCAGTGTGAGTCATGCCTAAATTATAGCAGGCCTAACATCCTCTACACACCAGTAGCAAGGAAACAGAAAAAGATCAGTCAGGAGAAGTTGCACATGCAGAAAGGAAGAACAGCAGCAGTAGTGATGGAAAAAATCCAGCTAGTTTATCACCATTACTTTGGTATGTGATTCAGATACTGGAAACCAGAGGGAATAGAATATACTTTCAAATATCCTGAATCTTTCAATTTTTTTCAATTTAAAGAAATAACATATCTTCCCATTTCAGAACCAAAGCCTCATGATACACACACACCTACTCTCACATCTCCTCTTTGCTTTCCCGCCTGTTACAGAATCATTCGTACAACTACTGCTTCTTCTTTAGCACTTGTAATTTCCGTATCAGCCCTCCAATGACAACCACGTTCCTGTTACAGTTGCTGCCTGTGTTATTAAATAATTTAATTAAGTATAAGCTTTAAAGCCCTATGAAAAGTTAGATCAGGAAGTAGTTTTCAGTAGCAACGTTATGTTTGGTGGCCTGGTTCCCCTGACTGAAATTCTGGTGGAGCAGAATCTTCAGTGGTGTTTCTGCTGGGGCAGAGTTTGTGATCTGAGTATACGAAGAAACACTTTTCCCCGTATAGTCTCCTAGCCTCCAACTATCTGTGGATCAGGAAGTTCCTGATCCAGAGGTAGTGGTTTCTTTAATGGCCCTTTGAGGATTTCTTTTTCATTACGTTTGTCCCATTGTTTAGATATACTACTAGTTTGAGAGCAAAAGCATTCATCCCTCCACATGATAGCCTGGTATATTGTGAAACAAATTGACTGTCACTTTTGTTACTTATCAGTATAACCATTTGTAAAATTATTACAAAAAATCTTCATCCCGAGTGAATATTGCTATTTAATTACAATGCTTTTAAATTCTATTCTTAGAAGTAGCTTGTACTTTCATTAATAAGACAGTATCTCATTGACTGTACTGTTTCATTCAGATAAACAAGAACCTCTGCATGATTACTGCTTGCACTGTCTTTTCTTGCTTTGCCATCATTTTTCTGTGCTGTTGATTCAACTGTATTTTTAGTAATAATAGTTGTTTCTCTTTTCAAGAACGACACCAGCGGTAGTTTTCTGGCAGTGGATTAACCAGTCCTTCAATGCTATAGTAAACTACACGAACAGGAGCGGTGATGCCCCAATTACTGTCAGGTCAGACACTGAGCCAGATACTTCTGATTTGTTTATGAATTGCTCTCTGATGTACTGAAACATGGTTGGGCTTTAAAGTTTGAGGTGATAGAGGGATAAGGTTTTTTTCATCTGTGCTTATTATTAATTTGATATGCGCAGACGAGAAGTCTGATGCAGGTGAGAGCTCCATTTCTGCCATTAAAGGTAAGCCTAAGCACCTGGTCATAAGCACTCAACAGCGTAGGATTTAATAGGAGTCTGTGTTGCGTTGCTCGGTCAACCATTTGAAAGTGCCTCATTGGTTTAGTGTTATACCAGGATATTTCTAAGCTGGTGTTTTGTGTGGACCTTCAGATGTCTTTCTGTGTTCCCTTCTTCTCTGTGCCCTAGAGTACAGCACACTCCGTACTGTGTGCTTGTTTACAAAAAGAGGAGCCTTCAAGGAACTGGTCTGCACAGTACTTGTGTCTCCTTGAAGGCAAAGGCGGAGATTAAGTAGATGCAGAAAGCTAGAAATCGTGAATAGGAGACTAGAGTTGCAGTGCTTGACTTCCTGGTTTTGAGGCTGGCTTCCTTGTAGATGTCTGGGAGAAAGCAGTGGATTTGAGGGTATACAGACACCTCCTAGCTGGGAAGTAGCAAAGCATGATTTAGGGCAGTTTGGTTTGGGTTTGTGTGTTTGCAGTATAGCTGGTCTGCATGGCTTCAGTGCAGTTGATTTTAATTACTGTCGTAGACATGGCCTTAGAAACCCAAACTGATTTTATTAGTTTAAACAATTAGGAAATTAAATACAGAACTAAATCCTTCAAAGTGTTCATCCAGACACATGAGAAGGTGCTGAACAGATAGCAACACAGAACCAGAACAACCTGATTCGATGTTAAAATGTTGCTTGCATGTGATTTTTACCACTAGAGAAAGAAAAGCTTTTAATTTAGTGTCCCATTTGAATCTTCCATCTGCATCTTATTGCAGTGTCACAGAAAGATTTACTTCTTAACTTTTGAGGTGGCATAACTACATGTGTAAAATGTAATTATTTTAAAAAGGTATATAAAAGTAGTTGTTGTGCATGTGCAAATGGTTGTATTTTTGTTTTAGCCAGCTGGGAACAGCCTATGTTTCTGCTACCACGGGTGCCGTCGCAACAGCTTTAGGACTTAATGCACTAACAAAGGTATTGCTGACATTTTTTTCCATTCTTAACTAGACTTTGATGTTCAATGAGATGCTAACGGCTCATTTCTCCTCCTGTGCGTCTGTGTCATGTTATGCACAGCTCCCATGGTGAAGCTGTAATGGCCATTGGCAGCTCCCTTCTTTAGATCCCAACCTTATTTTTGCCCCATGCAGATGGTCTTACATGTATTTCAAACAGTTTGTCCTCCTTATATGTATATCAAACAGCCTTCTGTTTTGTTAATACAAACTGTATCTAGTAAGGTGCCTTTTTTGCAGTTTCTTCTTTACATGAGAAAGTACCTAATAGCATGTGAAAGTACCTAATAGCATTTGAAAGTTAATTGAAGTGGATGTGTAATTACAACAATGTGGACTTGTTATCCCATAAACCATATAAGTGTGGTTTTAAGGTGCAGTATCACTTCTGCGAACATGAACGCCTACTCTAGACTGGCTGAAGAACTTATAAGGAGGTGCCACTCTTAAATGCAGAAAACTCAAATTCTTTAAACAAATGCACAACACAATCAGGAAAAAAGGGTCCTTTACACACAAAAAAACTCAGCAAAAATCTCTTTTGTGTGCCTCTGCTTATGCTTTAACATACTGGGAGTGGAACAGCATTGGCAAGCTATTTGAGAGACTATTCTAAGGAGAGTAATTCAGATTAGACAAGAGCTAGACTAGATGAATAGCCTCCATGGTTGGTGCCCTTAGATGCAGAGCAGCTGGTATGGATGTCGTTGGCTGTGACCTTGCCAGTAGAGACAGTGAAGTTAAGGTCTATATAGCATTGCCTTTGGGCTGACAGACATGCTCAGAAGCTGACGCTCCTCTGCAATGATGCTACTAAATTAAGATTGTTTTTTCCAGTCTCCTGCCACTGCTCACTCTGCAAGAAGTATTTGTGACTTATGTCTTGTTTGTTTGTTGTTTTACCTCTGCTCCACCAGTGAGTTTTCACTGAACTTTAGTTGAAGGGAAAAAAGTCTGGTCTATCATTAGCACATGAAGCATTTTAATATGACCTTTGGGAAATAAAATCATTATGTAATTATATTTTTTCTTTTCTTTTTTCTTTTTTTACTGTGTTTTTTACAGCATGTCTCACCTCTTATAGGACGGTTTGTTCCTTTTGCTGCTGTTGCTGCTGCTAACTGCATTAACATTCCACTGATGAGGCAAAGGTAGGAAAAAGAACAAAGATCACTCATTCTAGAATAAAGGATGTTATTGAGTTTTTAGATCAGCAAGTTACTAAATAAAGCATGTTCTGTATCTTTAGCTTGTTTCAGAACCTTGCAAAAACCTCATGCATGATCTTGTTTTGATTGATTGATTGTGACAGGTATAAAATAGAACATCCTCATTTGCTTCAGATAAATATCCATAGAGTTCTTCAGTTTTAGATCTCAGAGACCAAGTACCAGTCCTTCACAACTTGATCACATGGACCCTTTAAATACAAACTCCGCTTTGTCAAAATACAATCATTTCAAAAATGGTGCTTCAAATCCCACATGCAGAAGTTAGTCATAGAAGTCAAGCTCTGCAGTTCTGTTTAAGCATCTGAGATTACAAAAATATGCACTTTTGCAGAAACAAAATTTCATATGTATTCTGATTTGCCTAGGACTAAGAATAGAAGTGGGGAAAAACAGAGGAAAAGCATCCTCTTACAAACACAAGGTTATGGGCATGAAAGGGACTATTTAAAGTTTGTATTTACAATGAAATTCAATCCTTGGTAGTATTTTATCTCTTATAAAAGATGAGGAGAAGAATAAAGGCAGTCCTCAGTATATCTGCCCTTCTGTCTGCTTCTCACTTCCCTAGAAGTTCTCCCCAGTATGTGAGTTTAACACCTAACCCTGCACTTGAGCAAAAGATCTAATGGAGAATAAACAGTTACAGAAATGTAATTTGTTTTGTGCATCATTTTATACTTTCAAATATGTTCTTAGTGGCTGAAGTGAAAACTCAGACTAGAATGCCAGAGGGGAATTTCCACAAAGACTTCTGGTTTAGTTCAGTGAAACAAATCTTCCTGTATTCCCTGTGTTGCCTGTCGGAAAGGACAAACTGCTTCCAGAAAATTCCGATTTTCTGAATTGCTTTTTGAAGGAATCTTTCCTTTCTGTGAACTACAAAAACAATACATCTCCTTTTTTCCCGCCTTGGAATGCATGTCACCAGGCTCAAGTGGGAGATTGCTGTTACAAATATTCAGTTGCTTGCTTTTCAGCATATTTTTCCCCAGATCTTTCTCTGCCTTTTGAAATAACTTGGAAAAGAAAATAAAACCCGTAATTCTTATAATTGACAATTTTAAGAGGACAAAGATAAGGTGACAAAAAAAGGTGAATAATGGATGTCAGTCACTGTTTTGTGTTTACCCCTTATTCGACAGGGAACTCAAGTTTGGAATCCCCGTCACGGATGAGAACGGAAACAGGCTGGGTGAATCAACAAAAGCAGCTCAGCAGGCAATTACCCAGGTGGTTATATCAAGGATTCTTATGGCTGCTCCTGGCATGGGTAAGAATAACTGCAGTCATGTGCAGCTCCTGACTATCAGTTCCTAATGTGAGAGAGCGCTTAAATTCTATATAAGTGATTTTCTCAGAGGCCAAATTGTTTAGTTACGCAGGCAGTATTTACAAATGCACATTTCTTACTGTGAAAACATCCACAGTGTTATGCTAACGTGCAGCAGAAAAGCTCCTGGGGTGCTTTTGCAGAGAAGATCCAGATAGCAAAGGAATGGTGGGAAATTCTGTGTGAGTGGAACTAGTTTAGTGAGAAGTAGGTGCTCTGACCAGTGCCAAGTTACTAAGCTCAGGTTTACTTATGTGTGAAATTAGAAATTTTGCTTATTGGGAGAATTTACCTGTGTGAATGCCAATCCAGTATCTTCAATTGGCAATGTGAAATGAAAGCTCGGTTACAACAAAAGGCTGTGAAAATTGTATTATGGTATTAGTTCATCTTAACAGAAAATTAAAACAAAGTGCCTTTTTCTCCAAGGTTAATGCTTTTCTTTTCTCATTTGCAGCAATTCCTCCCTTCATAATGAATACATTGGAAAAGAAAGCCTTTTTAAAGGTTAGTCTTAGATAATCTACATACATGTATTTCGTATCCTAAGTTAATATTTTCATGAATTTAAAATACTTTCTGAATCTTCAGATTTGCCTCCTAAATGTGCCTCCACGCTGGGAGGACATCACTGTAGAGCTTGCTTTACAGCTGTCGCTTTCTTTATGCCTTTCTTAGAGATAGCTTAGTTCTTTTTATCACAGTGTAAAATAACATTAAGAAAACATGAACTTTTTTGTTATTTTTATAATTGTTCTTAAAATGCAGAGTTCCTCCTATTAAATAAACCTTCCTTGTGCCAAGACTTGGAACACAGTTTGTCAGAAAAATATTTTAAAATTTTATAATGTTTTTTTTCTTAGGATATCACAAAGGAGGCTTTGCTTAGCTGCAGTAGTAACAATTTGACTTTAGAAACAACAATGGTGATAAAAATGTCTTTTGGAAATGACCCTTTAAAATTTAGTGGATGAGCAAGTAGGCATAGAATGGGCATGCTTCATCAAAGATTACTTATTTCCTATATTCTGTTTATGCTAATGTAGTATGAAGTCAAACACCTGGTAAATACATAAGCTAAATCAATGTTAGGCACTGTGTGTGCATGAGAGGGTAAAGAACAGTAATGAAATTTATTACAGGGTTGTCTAACAAAAGAGAAATAATATTCAGTTGAGAAACTCTATAATTTTTTTATCAGTCAAGGGAGTTTCATCTTCACCAGCTGCTATCACCCATTTACTTACTTGGATGGCTCCAGCCAAAGTCTCTGCCTGTGAAACCCACCCAAGAACCTGGCAACAATAGTCCTTCCTGTTAGAAAAAGTTAGGAAAATGTGTTCTGAGTTTCCAGACCCTCCCTTGGAGAAGTGGTTTGGGTAGGGACTGGGAGGACGAGCAGGGGAAGTCACCAGGTTTTGTTTGTCTAAAATAGAGCTTTCTAAAATATTTAAATTGCATTTCTTATTATTTCTGCCCTTCATTTTCCTTGTGCAGAGTTAGATTACCCAGTTGCATACACCACTTGAAAGTGCTTCTGTATATATAAATCAGGCATTGGGAAGTGGTCCCAAGTGTCTTCCAGTTTTAAAAACTTTTTTTTCCTGAAGCACTTTGCTGCTTTCCCCCCACCCATGTTATCAGAAAACAGTATTGCTCAGAATGTAAAAAAAGAAAGTGTGGTGTTTTAGACTGAAAGGCAGTGTGTGCTGCCTGTATCTCCTGAAAGAAGTGAGACTGCAGTGCATCAAACGCGCTATTTGTCTGCAGCATAAAGAGCCCTATACCAATTTGGCTAATTAATTGCTGATTTCTTTTGAGCCATACCCTGTTTGCAGAGTAGCTTTAAGCAGCTTGTGATACTGTTATGTTCTTGAGAATGTGATACCTGGAACACTAACCCTTGTTTAAAAAAAAAAAAAAAAACCTCGTAAATTTAGAGCAAAGATTATTTTATATGTATTTGACATGGGAGAAATGTCACAAATGCTATCAATTCAACTGACAAATACACGACATTTGTGAAGAAGTTGCAACAATTCTCAGGGTTTGGAAGCAAATATCTACTGGTTTTGTGTGGTATAATCAATATGAGAGTGTTGTGAATTTTTCAGATCAGCAAAAATGAGCGATTTCTTCAGTGACTACTCAATGGTCTTTGGTACCATCATGACCGTTTATGCTCACCTGTTCCTCCCCCTCAGCCTCAAAGACTGTGAGTTCAGGTGAAACACTGCTCTACAGGTAGTCAGCGGTAACACATCGTAGAGATTAGTATTAAAACCATTAAGGAATGAGCTGCATTTTTAACAAGCAGCTTCTGCATGTTCTCTTGAGGTTTTGGAAGCACCATCCCATTTGCAGTACTCCAACACCACCCACACAATGCTTTACTAACTCATTATCCTGAGCCTTTGCTTTGTACACCATCACTCTTGAAAATAATTCTTATATGCTTGCTAAAGCCTACTAAGCAACACACAAGGCCGGAAAATAGCCAAATGGTTGTGAAACATTGAAGAAAACAGAATGATGTTCCACAGTAAGAGAGAGAAAAAGAAATGCTTCTGGAATGCTGCTCTCGGTGATAGCAGGCTATCATCCTCTGATATTTGAAATAAGATGTAGGTTATGTAGCACTATTCATTGGCCATATTCTGACATTGTTTTGCACGAGGACATTTTGATGGTAACATTAATATGAATTAAGAATATTCCCAAAAGTTATTGCTAGAAAATGGCTCAAGAATGTTTTTAGAACACTAGCACATACTGCTTCAAAAAGAATCTAATTATTTCTTGACTTGAAAAAATATTTTTTTGTATATATGTGCTTTTGCTACAGGTTTCAGCAATGGCTTTGGCTGCCTTTTATGCAATTATGCAGTGTAGTAGTTCTTGATTAGGCTGTATAATGTCTGTGTTCATTATCCCTACTGACATACTCTTGACTAGCTCTGTGCAGAACCAAGTTATTTTGTCTGCTGCAGCAGAAGGATCCATAAACAACCTCGCTCTGAGGCACACCATTTATAGATTTATTTTAGTGACAGGTAACCTTTCTCCTAAGGAAAGAAATTGGGGTTTTTTCCATAGAAACTTCTGAAAATTCCAATCGACGCTGAAGTTATTTATATTATTAGTCTTACAGCTTCAGCTACTGTTTCTCTCCTGTTCTGCATACTTTATTAACATCCAAGTTGATTCCAGAAATTTCCTCGTATATCCTTAAAATAAGCTCCTTGGGGTCTCTTAGTCTGCAACTAAGATATGTATTCAAAACTGTTACAAAACTAGAACAAAGAGCCTTTTTTTTAAGCATTGTTCTTGAATGTCTTATGCCTTAGAGTCCTCCATGCATTCTTAATTTAACTGTGGGGTTTTTTTGTTTGTTTTTTAAAAACAGGCGTAGCTAGCCTGGGAAAGCCGACAGATTTTGAGATGAAACAGTGAAAGGAAGCAGTTAGAAAAAAGCTGATTCTCCTTATGGCTTTTGTTTGCTTAATTATCATTTCTCCATTTTCTCTGTTTGAATTAACCACTAAAGATGCCATAAAGTCAGCTGGAAATTAAATCCTAATTCATCAGGAACTGCCTTCTTCCAGAGTTAAATGATAGTATCTAACACAGTAAATTCTTCTGCTGTCTTGTATTCCTCCATTTTATCTCTTTGTAGGGATGTACAGCCTGCATTTGGGTTTTGCTTTATTGTTTTAGATTGTTACCTGGGCAACTCCAATTCTTAATATTGACCTCCCAGTGTCAGAGTTTTACCTCACCATCTTTCTTGATTAACATAGCCTGGTAACATCCTTGAAAAAATAAAGGCTGTAACTCAGATCAAGTACCTTGGCAAAAAATGTTCCATGGTATGAAATAGATGGTGTTTATATTGTCTGTACTAGCAGACACCTTTCCATCTCAGATTAATGACCAACTCTGATAAAGGCATGAAACTTTTTGAGCTATTACTCTCACGAGACCCTCCAACAGTCTTTTCAGTTATGAAATCATATTTGTGGCTTTTCCGTTATGTATCGTGGGACTCGCACTGCAATGTGTAGCATCCCCCTCCCTTAATTCTCCTCAGAGGCTGAAGTCATTTGCAGTTTGAATTGTGTTCCCAAATCTGCGTAATATTTACCAGTGCCACAGTCCTACATCCCTTCTGCTGTCAGTCACACCATCTCTTGTTGTGAACTCTCTGGATGTATAAAACGTGAAGCATTTTGAGTTAGATTAACTCAGCTGAGAGTCAAATGAAGGTGTGTTTAGCAGAATGCCACAACAGCGGAGCACTGCTGCATTCACTCTCTATCCTTCTTGCTATTGCTGTCTTTTTTTCCATTTGTTACCTATTGTTGCAGGTTATTGCTGAATTGCACAGTTCTTCCTGCACTCATTTCTGAATTGCGTATTGAGTCCAGGAAAAAAAAAGAAGCAATCTTCTACATCATTTCTTCTCTCTCAAGAGAAAGTTTAATCCACACGGGCTTGTTTTCCCATACCTCTCACGCTGCTTTGACTTTCCTTACACCAAGCTTTGTCCTACCAAGCTTTCTAAATTTTTTTCTATTTCTATTCTCAAATAGTGCCCATCTTTTGTTTCCCCTCTAACTTCTACATCTTGAGAAACGCTTCTTGCAGAAAAAAAAAATCATCTTTCTTTGTTTAAAACATCATCCACTGTAACATGTGATTTTTAACTCATTAGCTGTTTAGTTTTAAAATCAACTTACTGGAGACACTGATTTTATTGTAGCAACATAAGGGCATTGTAGCAGTGCCATTTAAACAGGTCTGGTCTTATTTAATTAGTAATTAATTTCAACTAAAATTCTAACATGGGGGGGAATGGGTTCCTAAATCATTTAAAGGCCTACAAGAAAACTATAATGTTTCTTGGCATATGTTCAAGTTCTGCAGAAGTTACATTAATGAGGAATATGCTAAAAATGCATCCATAGGTTATGTGTTGCTTTCTCAGCCTTGTTTCCCCAATTCTTCTACCTTTTTTCCTTTAATAAAAGGTGACCTCTTGCAGAACTGGAGTGTACCAGACTGTGCTACAGGGGCAAGCTCCTCCACATCAAAGAAAATCATGAGGAAGGGCTGAGAGAGGCAGACTTGTATTTTTCTTTGACACCTCCCTTATTTGTGGTTGGTGGCTGCAATTGCCGTTGCTCACAAAGTAAATTTCCAGTTGTAAGTGACAATTGATGTCACCAGAGAGGAGCTGTAACCAGACCTAGCTCTTCTTAGGGATGCCTGTGCCACAGCACCTTGCACCTGCAGCACCACTCCAAACTTTGGCCATGTTGCTAGCTGCTGTGGGCTTGTGCGACTCAGGATCAGGTTGTAAAACAGTCAGCCACCTAGTGTAGAGTCTAAGGGACACGTACTCAGGATAACAGTGTACATTGGTATCACCAGGAATTTTCTTATTACTTTTCAAAGGGATTGGGCTCTCAAATTGGAACTCAGCTTTAAGGTATGCTGGTGATTGTTTTGCCGTCATCATGTCCAAGAGTCTTTTAGGTGCAATCTGTCTCTTACAATACAAGAATTCCAGGAAGGTAGGAAGGGGGGGAAGAAAAGGTACCATACTCACTCTGTGTGGTTTATTTTTAACAGAGATTTCCTTGGATGAGTGCTCCCATTCAAGTTGGATTAGTTGGATTCTGGTAAGTGATTTCTTCAGGTTTTGTTTGCTATTTTAAGAGATACTTGTAGGTTTTTTGGAGGAAGTAGCAATATTTGCACTTTGTTTAAAGAAAGAGAAGTTGAGAGAGTTATTGAGGCTACAGCAGTTACTTCACTTCCATATACGTAACTGATAATACCATTTAAAAAAAAGCTGTTAGTAATGAAGAAGCTGCCAAGAAAAGCAGAGGGAGAAAGAAAGGGAGTGGCACAAAAAGCATATAGCAGCTTGATTAGAAAAGATGTTTTGGCTGCTACTTCCATGAACAATAATTAGAATCTAATCCTGTAGGTTGATGAATTCTTGAAACATTTGGTTAATGGAGAGTTTCATTTGCTGTTGTTTAACATTTTATGTTGTCATGCACACCAATGCAAAACACTGAAAGGACATCAAATAATTTTATACACATTTGTAAGCATGGGACTGATGCATTTAGTACTACATAGTAGGTAAATGAATTCATAAGGTATAATGCAGCGAGAAATAAAGGTTACATAGCACTTCATGGAACTTTACCTCACTGTATAGAAAAAAAAATTTCCTGCCAAGACCACCATGTCTAAGGGTTTTGAATTCTCATTTAGCACCCTAAACATTGTAAACCCATTTTTATCTCCTCTAGTCTTGTGTTTGCCACACCCCTGTGTTGTGCACTGTTTCCTCAAAAAAGGTACGTATTCCTGTTACATTTTTCTTTCTTTAATGTTAAACTCCCCAATGCATGCAAGGTACTGCAAAAAGACAGAAACAAGCAGTCATTGCCTCCCAGGGCATACAGTCTTTATTCCTATATAACAAGTGTGATAAACATGAGAATATTCATAAAAGTAATAACTATGTAACTCATCAGTAATATATAATAGTTGAATTGGGCTCATCTGTTTACAAACTCGTAGCAGCTTGAGATGCAACTAAATAGAGACAGTGAACAAGAAGTTTGGGTGAGTAGTTTCACCACGCGATTTCAAGCTGAGAGGTTTGAGCTTGATAGTACAGATTTGGGAATCACTGGTATGATTCCTAAAAAAAGCTAATGTTGTCCAAACAGTATATTCATGTCCAGTAAGGTTACGGCTTCATTAAATGCAGTCAGAGCCCATTTTATTTTCAGCTGGAAACTCCTCTGGTTATACAGAATGGCACTTGACTATACGTGCTTATTTGTAATTTGATTCATATTTTTTCCAGAAAAAAAAATTCATCAATACACAAATAGCTCAGTACTGAAAATTGTCTTATAACAAATATTGTTTCTAGCTGAAATCATAATGAAACCTGGATGGGTTACCTACAAAGTTAGCTCAATTTGCAGTATGTAGTATGAACAGGGTCTTAAATTCAACAAAGCTGTCCTTCTTGTCTTATTAGTGGTTGTCAAAACTTGACAAGCTGCCAAATGTAGCTTAAACAACTAGCAAGCTGGAGCTGAATCAGTTAAAACATTGAGAAACTAAAATAGCTTTTGACTTCCAGAAAACAATATCTAATTCTCATCTGTTGCAATTGTTTGAGTACAACAAAGCAGTCTGACACCATCTGTTTCACTGCCTGGCATAGAATTGTGGTGATTAGGGGTCACTAGGCTACTTGGAGGTGACTTGGCAAACTAGCAGTACAAGTGTGGTACAGGTCTTGATTTTAACCAGGGCGCTATTTCATAGGAAGATTGGACCTTAAACTGTATTTAAGGAATTGCAGTTGTTTAAATGACCTGGCAGCTTAATTCACTTTACTGTGAGATGACTCTTACAAAAATAAACCTTTTATTCAACTGAATAAAATCAGGTAGTAAGTTAAATAGGCAAATACATTATATTTAATAAAAACACCTTAAGGAAGGTAAGTTTCTATTGCCAGCAACAACCTCAAACAACTAAGTAGATTCCTATCCTCAGGGTAGCAGCAACAGCTGTTTCTTGACTCTCTATAGCCTTACTGCCTTTTAAGCAGGGATGCATTTGCCCCTAGTCTGTGAGACTGATTCCTTCATAAGAAGTTAAAGATCTGAAAAATTCTGTTCACAATCCAGGAGGTTTAACTAGATGCATCATCCTTCTTATTTTACATTCAAGTGCTTGTTATATATAACTATTTTACTGTTTCTTTTGCTTAGTTCTATGTCTGTAACACGCTTGGAACCAGAATTGCAAGCCAAGATCCAAGAGAACAGCCCTGAACTAGAACGTGTATACTTTAATAAAGGATTATAATTCAAGGAAGGGAAAATATCTTTCAAGGAGGAGCTTGTGAACTTATTTTTGAATTACGTGCCAACAGAGTTAAAGATGAGAACTCACTTTTAACTTGTTTAACAAAAGGACAACTTTGATCATCCACATTATTTTCTATTTAAAGACTTTCCTTGTTGTAGTGTTTAAATTACAAAAGGTCGTTTTGTCCACTTTGGTATCAATTAAAAGTTTAACCATACATATCAAAAAATGTTTACATAAGCTCTCAAGCAGCTACAATAACAATAAACAAGCGCACAAAGAAAAACAAATGCTATTATATTGGATTTGCCACTGTTCCAGTAATAGCAGGGCAGGGATCCCTTTGTGAAAAGTCATAGAGCAACTGAACGAAGTTGCCACCCTCTGCCAGCAACAGGACGGGTAGCCGAACGTGACAGCAGGTTGTGCAGGAAGGGCTTTTTACCAGGAGGTTGATTAGGTTGTAGGTTTTCCCTGTTAGCACAGAACCGTTTCTTTAAGGCAGATGGTGGAGGAGCCTGCAGCTTCTGCACAGTGTGGTACTGTTCAGCAATACAAGCTGTTTTCTTCCGCAGGTCTAGTTTTACCAGAGTCATGTTGTTCTGCAGTTCTGCCAGTGTTTGGTCCTGAGAAGGGGAAGGCAATATACATTAAGATATGACAAGTTGCCTAACGCCCTGGTTACTATGAACTGAAGAGGATAAACTGCCTTTGCCAAAATTCACTAACAGATGTGCTAAATAAGGCCTTGCATAAAAGCTTCTACTGTCAACAGTGTAGTGGTTCAATAACAAAATAGGAACAGTAAGGCTGGGAAAAAGCTGAATCCATCCTGCTGCAAACATGCTGCCACAGCAACTGTGATAGAGTGAAGTGGATAAGGGAATGAGAACTCTGAATTCTCCTATTTCAAGTGCAGGCTGTCAGTTAACAGCACAATTTGGGTCTCCTTTGGAGAGTTAAATATGCAATCCAACTCAGCCATTGAAAAAATTAGCAATATAGCTCTCTTAATGTAATAAACAGTGCACGTCTAGATAAGTCATTGTTATTTGCAGCTGTAAGAACCTAGGTTATTCTGCTGATTACAGCAGAGTGCATAGACTAAGTCCTCCTGCACAACCCACAACAAAACAGACACATTACCTGTCTAGCCAGAATGTCATTGCATGTATAGAGGGCTTCTCGAAGTTTCCCTGCACTTGTACTGTGGCAGCATGCCCTCCCTGCAGACTGAAGAAACTCCCCAAGTTTTTGTAATTCTGAACGCAGCAATCTGACATTCTGCAGGAGAAAGATTTGAAACAACAGCTAGCTTTGACATCGCTCTGCCAAAGCCACTCCAGAGTAATTCAGACCTGCAGTACTGAGGGGGATCGCCTCTGAGGTACACTGGGATCACAGATACCAACACCTTCCACATCTCTAGTATGGGTTTGCTTTCAACAGACCCATTTCAACTTCAACCATTTGTTTAAAAACCTGGAAACAGCAGCTATAAATACTGTTTAAACTGGCAACCACCTTGCCCTGCAAGCATTTCTTTCTGTAACGGAGATGGAGTTACCTTCTGTCCATCCTCCAGCTTCCTGTCTACATCCACAGTAATGGGTTTGGCAGAGGGAGGTGGCTCCAGTAATTTCTGGTACTTGCGCAACTCTAGGAACAGAGAAGCAGCAGTGAGCAACAGTATGTTCATAAGCTTTTGGGTTTTCTGAAGTCAGGACTTCCCTTGTGACAAGCAGCCACAGGCAAGCCGAGAAAAGCTTTGAGTTTGCACAGACATGCACAAACATTCCAGGCTTCTCCCTTTCAGTTATGTAAAGGGACTTTAGAGCTTGAACAGGGAGATGATCCTGCCCTGAAGTCCATTCTCATGTGAAACTGAAGTGAAACTGTGTCCATCCAGCACATTATTCTTATCATCTACAACTCAGAGTAGTGGCTTCAGGATGTCCAAATCCAACATACTCTACTGAAATAAGTATCTCTAACACTCTACAAGGATTGCTCAGGCATAGTTCAGAACCAGCACCCGGCATCAGTGCCTTACCTGCTGTTGCGATATTTAACTCCATTTGACATTGCTCCAGTTCAGCTTTAGTATCTGCCAGCTCCTGTTGCAGAGTGCATGAGGTAGCCACTCGCTTTGATCGACGCAAGCCTTGCCCCGAGTCCTTTTGCTTAGTATCCAGGCTCTCCAATTTTTGTTTTGCCTCCTGCAGAGCAGCTTGGAGCTCCTCAATCTTCTCATCGCGCTCCTTAGAAAGCAAGTTTGTTCAAATGTTCAGCAAGATTTTCTTAACACAGCTTTTCTGAAACTTTCAATGTCTGTCTTCTGGGAGACTCTCTCAATCACACATTTCACATGTTGGACCCAGCCTTTGATGTCCTTTAAGTGAAAAAAGTGAACCCATTTCCTAGAAATCTAAACCACTTTTTCACAGCCTCTACAAGCAAGGGATTTTTTGAGTTGCCATCTTCAGAGATGTCTGCACCAAGTCCCAGAGGCCATAGCGTGAAAAATACAGACAGGCCCATAGTCATCATCACAGCAAGAGTAAGAAGAGAGAGTTACAGAACTTGTGTTACTCTGAAGAGTGCAAAGCAAGCCACTAGCAAAAAGGTTAAGGGGAGGGAGAATCATGTTGAACAAATAGAGGAGTCACAATGGTTGCACATTAGCTTCCAGATTAAGGGCTGAAAATTAGAAAGCCTAGTGAACTACCTAAAAGCAGTAGACAAGAAGCTAAAATTGTGAATCAAACTATCAAATATCATCAGAAAATTACCACAAAAAGCAAAATCTTTCAGTTTGTATAAATCACTTTCCTGGATTCAAGTACCCTGAGTCCCCTCCCAACCCGCTGCCACTTTCCCGATGTCATTTCATTGCCCTGAACAAACCTGGATCTTTTCCTGGTAATAGTCAGTCAGCGACTCCTTCAGGTTATTCAGTTTATCCTCGTACAGTTCCTCCAGCAGCTCCTTCTGAGCATCCAGATGTTGACTACAAAGAGAACAAACAACTACATGTCAGGGTCTGGCAGTTCCTGGTACTGTAGCTCACCCTGAACAAAGGGAGGGAGGTCAGCATAAGCTGTACCTGCACCATTGCTCTTTCTGTTGGATGTGCTCCAGCATCTCATTGCAGATCTCTTCACGGAGACGCATTTCTAGTTGCAGCTTCTCCTGCCGCTCTTGCACCAGCAGTTCTCGTGCAGCTTCCACTATACGCAACAAGTCCTGCAAGAAGGACACAAACTTCATTGTGCACACTGCACAACAGAATTGAGACCTAGAATAAACTAGGTGATCCCGTATCTGTAGGCTGGGGTGATCTAGGTTTGAGATTCTTGTAGTCGCTTGGAAAATGAAGTTGCCAGGTTTGCTCTTAATTCCTCTCCCATGAGATGCCTTAAACAGCACTGCACTCCAGATGGAGCTGTCTCCAGAGCAGCTTCCCCCACTGCACTGCCCAGGACTGTGCTTGCATTTGCTGCCTTGACACATTACAACTCAATTCCCTGTAGATATTTGACTTCCTTCTTGATCTTTCAGCTATTCCAGCTGCCTGCTTTGAGTATCTAGGAAGTATAATTATTTTTCTTCAGTTTAGCCATCTGTTTTGCATGTTTTCTGATCTCTAGATTTCCCTTCCAGAGTAGGGATTATAGGGCTGCACATGAGCTCTTACTGTCCCTATTCCACAAATGACAAGGTGTTTCCAAGTTAAGCACATGCTTCAGATTTAGAACAACTGTGGACTGTTTTCCTCATGGATTCCCAATTTCCTAGGTCCCATATCCGTCTGAGGTTCTCTGTCATCTCTTGGTATAGTGCCAAGCTCCCACTTCACCTCCCAGGCCAAACCTTGCCCCTCTATTCATAAAGGCTGTAAAACAAATCAAACCCACCTCCTTCTCATACAGGAAGACATCTGCTTCATCCTCGCTGTCATCCTCTGATTCTACTTCCTTTGCCACTGCCTCTGCACCCTGGCTGGTTCGCCTGCTGTGCTCTTTCATGATTGTTTGTATGGATGGGAGTCCTAGCTTTGTGGGAGGTGCCTGAACAAGCTGAAGGGGAAGAGGCCATCATTACTAGTCCACAAAGCCTGGAAGTTGCATAGTCTTTAAACACAACACTTCTCTGCAACCTGTCAACCCTTTCAGTTTAGCAGAGCCTGGAAATACTGTAAAGGTAATAATCCACTGGAGAAGCATAAGGAAGGCATTCCCCCTGCCTTGTGATGGCAGAGGGCCTGTTCCCACAGAAGCAGAATGTATCCTGACCATGGTGTGTGCTACTTACCTGGCTGGCAATGGCTGAGAACTTGGCTACATACAGAGTTTCATCATATGTAGATGCACACTGGTTAATGTTGACAATCATACAAGAGCGCCCATGTCCAGTGAAGAAACCCTGGAACACGCGGGTTAGCTTGCTGTCCCGGAAGGGAACCACAGTATGCTTCAATCTATGGGGAGAGACAAGAGTGAGCCCATGGGAAAGCAAAACAGCCTGCCCACATGCTCCCTGCAGAGTTCTGGATATTCACTTAGACTGCTGGTTCTGGCGGAGGGCAGCAATGCAGCGACCCAGCGTGTGGAGGGAGGTATTGATGTTGTTTGCTTCTTTCATTCGGTCCCCACTTTTTTGGTCTTTGCAGCGCTCTGACCCCGCAAGGTCACAGAGGGACAACCTGAAGAAGACACAGGCAACATTCACATGACCTATTAGGTTTATCCTGTTCTGCCAGGTTTACAATTCAGATACCCTGTGACTGCTTTCCCAGCTTCCTCATAAGGGCACAGAAAGCTCTTTTGGGGTGTATGGGCTGTTGCTGGACAGAAGGGCCTAGCCTAAGTGTAAGGGTTACACAAGGTAGCATCAATGCAAGCTTTGTGGCGTCAAGTTCAAAGATCCTTTGCCAGTCCTCAGAACAGCCACTTCCTGAGTATTGAGACGACCTATTTCCAGATAACTACATCGCAGGAACAGGCATTGGCAGCACTCTAATCAGCCCTGCTGCAAGAGCAGGGTTACTCACATTTACCTTCATTCAAAAAGCCTGAGAACTACCTCAAGTTGTATTTTGCAGTACTCCTCACAAACTCCTCAGTCAGTTCCAAGACTTAAGAGTAAGAACATTTACTCCTTCCAAGTACTTTCAACAAGACCTTCCTTAAGATACTTCCCACATCCCAGGCCCAC